TTTGTTCGAAATTTCCGGCGAACAAAAGTAAGTTTAAAATACAAATTTTATTAAAAAACTGCTAAAAATTTATCGATTTTTCTCTTCCCATACATGTTTCTAACTTGTTCATTTTTATAATCTTAATTACCTACATAGATGAATGGGAGTAATAGAAGAAAGTCCGTCGATGTCAGACAAATGATAGTTAAGGCTAGAAAAAATGACCTAGAATTCAAAGAAATTAAATTAAATAATAGCGGGTTTAATTGAACAAGGTTTAACCGCTCGTGAAGTGGCCCAATGAATTGAGTGCAACATTAAAACGGTGGAACTGTGGAGAAAGAAATTTCGTGAACTAGGTCCAGATGGACTAAAAGATCACCGAAAGTTAAACAGACGCTAAAAAAATACGACCCCGGAACAGGACGCACAAATATTAAACGTTGTTACGGAAATGCCGTTTCGAGCAGCAGAGAGCGTAATTCCTGAAATCGGCATCGACATACCAAAACGGACAGTTATCCGACGATTAAAGGCTGCTCAATTGATTTCGTGTCGTCCGACCAAAAAATGTGTTCTTAAAGAAGAACATCGTCAAGAACAATTAGCATTTGCCAATCGGCATTTAAATAAGCCTCAGGAAGAGTGGGACAAGTGGATCTGGTCTGACGAAAAGGTAAGTTCCTCTTCGTCAAGATTTTCGTTCGAAAATGTCAAGAGCGAATAAATGACTGTATATTTTTTTTAAATTATAGGTCTTTTCTTCTGCTAAGGACGGCAGGCTACGTGTTTGGAGGCTTAAAAGCGCACGACTTCAGCCACAATATGTGGTGCAAGAGCATTACAGTGGTAGAATCTCGTGCAGCTTTTGGGGAAGCATGAGTGCTGCTGGTGTTATGGAGCTTCACCAGACCACAACACGTATGAGAGCAGCAGAATACATTGATATTCTGAATAATGTCATGCTCCCTAGTGCGCGAGCAAGATTTCCACCAGACCAATATCCAACAGTTACATTCGTGCATGACAACAGTGCTGTTCACACTGCACACGTCACTCGTAACTGGTTTGATGAGCATCCCGAGGTGGAAAAAATAGATTGGCCTCGCAAGTCTCCTGACCTAAACCCCATTGAAAATTTGTGGGGAATTATGGTCAGGGAATGGAGATCCGGTCAGCACAGAACTCGGGAAGCATTGATC